CAGTCGATTGTTCCAGAAGCTTTTCATTTCCTCTGGCTTGGACCTGCTCAGTGAGGCAAGTTCTGTCTCTGGGCAACATCAGGAGGGAGGGGAGAGAAATGTCCCACTGCCCCCCTCTGCAGAGCTTGCTCTGCTTCCCCCCACCAGCATCCCACCCGACGTGTCTGGGACACCCTTTTCACCAACACTTTATTTTTTAAGACCAATTTGTGACAGACTGCTGGTGCCCCCCTGCTCCTGCACCGAGCAGGAATCCCAGTGCTTCCCCCCGACAAGGACAGCTTTTCAACCTTTCCTCAAGCTGCCAGGCACCCTCTGCCATCATGCTTAACCTCGACCGAAGGTGGGTCCTGATGCTGCCAGCTCCTGCGTTGGGTTCTCGTGTTGTGTTTTGGAGCATGCGGGGGGTTTGGTGCCCGCAAGGCCAGCAGGGCTGCTCCAGGTGATGTAGAGTAGAAATGAGCTGGTGACAGCCCCTGGCTGGTGCAGACACTCTGCTGCCGGCTGAGCTTGTCACTTCTCAGCGGCTTTCCCTGCCCTGTCTGAGCACCCCAGCGTGCTTTGTGTTCTGTGTCTGTTGGGCAGATTCCCCTGGGCTCATGTAAACTGAAATGTCCCCTCACCTCCTCCTCCTCTCTGCACCCCCCGCAGGCCTGGAGACATGGATTTGCTTCCTACGCTGCTCTGAATGCTGAAACCTGGGGGGATGAGCGAGGAGCTGGGAGAAGAGGATGGCTGATGGAGAGCCGCGGCTCACGGGGAACCCAGATCCAGTCTGGGTTTTCGCCACGTTCCTCCGTGCCAGGATGGTAGCGCACAGAGTTGAGGGGAGGCTGGTTTTAAAGTGGTGTGAGGGATCTCCAGCTCTCCATGCCATGCGGGAGCACCCAGGGGCTGTGAACAAATGGAACCTCCACATAGGGCTGTCCCACCCACCCTGTGCTCAAAGGGGCTGGGAGGGCACAAGGGGACAAGGCTCCCCGCCACCCTGCAGAGGCAGAACTGGAAAGAACTGAACTGGCTTCCTCCCTACACCAGTGCTCGTACTGGGAACACCAGCTGACAACTCACAGAGTGTCCAGCTGTGGCCGCTCTGCCACCGCAGGACCCTGTGGGCAGAGGACCAAGACTCTGGTAGAACTCCAGTGATGCGACTGTGCTTCTTTAACACTTTGCTATTGATTTCAAATTAAACCATCTTCTACACCTAATTGTTCCCTTTTGTTCTGAAAATCCCAGTTATTTTCCTTTGCAGTGTAGTGACCTTTCCAGAACTACTCCCCCAGCGCTGGCTGCACCGGAGGATGGGGAAATTGCCGGTGTAGACCGTGAAGCTGCGACCATGGCTCCCAAGCAGAGAAGATCCTGAGGGCCCCGGAAGGTCTCGGTTCTCATCTGAGGAAGAGGAGGCCCCTGACAGGGGCTTGCTTGCAGCAGGCTGGAAAAGACTGCTGCATCCATGGGGGACTCCAAGGAAAGCTGCCCCTTTCCAGCTCCCAGCAGAAGTGGAGTAACACTGGCATAACCCTGGGAAAGGGGCTCCCTCACTCTTTATTCCTGGGAAGGACACCAAGCCCCCCTGATGAAGGCAGCGAGGAAGGAGCTGCTCCTGCCCCGATGGGTGCTGCAGCGCCGGGCAGGCTCCTGCTGCCGATGGCTTACAGGGGTTTAAACCCCGACGGAAATGTCCTTGGTGACCCCTCCCCAGCCCTGCAGTGGGAAGGCGCTCGGGGATGACACCCAACACGAGCGTATTCAGAGCAGAATTTCTGACAAGCTTTAAGCGTGTTGTCAAACTCCTTCCGCCGCCACAGCGCCATGTGGGCGCCCTTCTCTGTGCTTAGGGAATGGTTTGAGCAGCTCCAGGAGCAATCCCATCTGCGAGCGCCCCACCGCTGGGAGCAGAGGCTGCCACGGGGGCTGGCAGGGGGAGATGGGTTCCAGCCCCAGGTACAGAAGTGGGACAGAGGCTGCGGGACAGACAGAACCCCCTGAGCCCCTGAAACGTGCTGATCCCGGCCTCCTGCAGCAGCTGGGGCCTTGGCGCCCGCTCCAGTCCTCCCGCATGTCCAGGAAAACGGTGACATGGGGAGTGGGGCTGAGGTCGGAGCTGGCAGGGGGCTGAGAACCTCCCTGTGCCAATTCCAGCTGGCCTCAGAGCCCAGCCCGGAGTCACAGACACAGGAGGCAGCGCTGGAGGTGCCAGGGCAGCCCCCCAAGGTCTGTCTGCTTTTCTGTGGACACCTAAAGGACAGAGACATCACGTCTTGGGACCGGTTCAACAAGACCTTTCACACAGGCTGGGCAGCAGCTCCTGTGGCAGCAGCAGATGCAGCAACTGCCTCCCCCCCCTTCCTGGCTGCGAGTGGAACTGCCCGGCCTCTGCCCGTGACCCCTGGAGCCCCGCGGGCACCCCGCTCTCAAATGAAACAAGCACCACATGTTCACTGCTTCTCTTTAATGGCTACGGAGCTGTTCCCCCGCCGTGGCACCGCGGGCACTGCCGCAGAGGTGAGGGGGGCGTGGGGGGACGGCGTGGCGAGGCTCCTGCGGGGGGAGGCACCGCCCAACCGCACCCATCACAGCAGCAGCTCGTGGGGCATGGGCTCCCCGCGCAGCCCGGCCAGCAGGTTGTTGGCTGCCAGCACGGCCATGGTGGTCCTCGTGGCGTACGTGGCGCTCCCAATGTGCGGCAGAATCACTGGAGGGGAACAGGGAGGGTTACTTGCTCGTTTCTTACCTTCACCAACCTCTTGCAGCCTCTTTCCGGGGTCTTCCCATGGCGGGACAATTGCGCCCGCACCAGCCATGGCTCCATCAGGAGATGACATCAGACACGGAGCATGAAACAAAACCATCAGCTGCTGGGGACTGGGAAAGACGTCCGACCAACAGCTAGAACTGAGCTGTTCTTCAAGTCCTCCAGGCCAAAGACAGGCACCCAGAAGTGGATCCTCCTTTCTTCATTCAGGCGTGGTCCCACCGTCCCGCACAGCCCCAGTCGGTGACGGATGGGAAACACTATTCCTGCGGCAGATGGAGGCACAGGGAAATCCGTGCACTGCTGCCTGATGGCCACCCGGCTTCAGGGGGATGTGACAGGCACCAACCAACACCCACCGGGGCAAGAGCCTGGGGGCTGTTGTGGAACACCATGTTCTAGAGACCCCTGGAGAGGCACGTGCAGAGGCAAACAGCCCCTGCTGAACAGAGCTCCCAGAGCGCAGCACGGTCAGGGCACGGATTTTTACCCTCCCACGTGAAAAGGCTCCTACGCAACACAGAGGAATGAGCCAGAGCTGCTCTGGTGGTACATTATGATAATGTTAGTGGAGAGTGCTTGCCCAAGGTACAGATCAGAGCCTGCACCACAATCTCCACTGGTTTTACAACAGGGAGTACCTATGTGCAGCACAGGAGCCTCAACACCTGCTACGCTGCCGCCGCGGCGGGAGGAGGTTCTGCCAAGGCTGCAGGGCCACACAGGTCCCTTCTCTCCTGTCGAGAACCAGCCCGGGCTCCTTGTTCGCTGTGACAGTTGTGTCAACACTCCTTCCTCCTCTACTTAAACCGTGTTCCTCCAGCTGCTTAAACTATTTGGTAATTTGGGGTAAAATCTGTGAATAGTCTCAGAATCAAAGCCTCATCCCTGTGAAAATAAATACATTATGTATTTATTTATTTATTTTTGTCTTGCTTGGTGTGGCTCCAGAGCTCTAAGATCTCTGAAGTCCTGCAAGTATTTCCAGAAAGTCTCTGCTTTTATCATTTCTCACACTGTCTACTAGGGGAACCAAAGCAAACAAAAAATAATCGATTTTAGCAACAAGACAATCAAAGCAACAATTTGTATTCCAGAAATGGACATGCAGTCATGGGCAGCTCCAAATTTTCATGGATGTCTCTATGGTTTCCTTTCAAAACAGACCCTTCCTTCCCCAAAAACCTTGCCCTGGGGAGGCCAGGCTGCTGCCACCTGTGCAGCTGCTGCAGTGCTCTGCCCCGGACCGGTCAGCCAAGGCCTCGACGCCGGAGGAAGCGACGCTGGCCCGGCTCGTGCTTGCAGCTCCCGGCAGGGCTGGCCATGCTGGAGAAGCCGAGTGCTCAGCTGGGAACAGGTACCACCCTGCTGTGGCGCCAGGCGTGGGGTCACAGGCCACTGCAGAGGTTTATTTTCTAACCAGAAAGCAGAGCCTTCTCCGTGTCCCATTTCTGTCTGTTCTGCCTCAAGGGGTATGAGTGAGCCAGCCTGGCTCATGTCCCAGTACGTCCTGCCCAGGAACTGGCCTGACCCACGTGCTCCCTGTGTAGAGGAGGCGAGGGAAGCTCCTGGCTGAGTTCCTCACTGCAGGGCAGACAAGGAAGGCAGAGACAGGCCAAGAGCTGTCCCGAACTCCTGCCAGGCCCGTGGGGATGGAGCTGCGCTGGTGCATGGCAAGGCCGTGGGAACAGTGAGGATCTCAGAAAAACATGCAGGGCCGCCAACATTGCCCAGCCCCATGGGACAGCTCCAGCCTTCTGGAGGGCACCGGTAAAACAAGAGCGTTTGTCTCCTGCTGCAGGCTGCAGCCCCTGCTCCAGCAGCCGGGCCACGCTGAAGCGCCGGAGGAGCCGAGCGAGCCGCTTCCAGCCAGCCTTCCTCACCCAACCTAACCTCCTCCGGAGGAGACACGCTCTTAGTCCCGGGACCAGCACCCTCCTACCTGCCTGACACCCATTAATACCCAAACACAGGCGGCCTGAGCTGTCCGGGCTCCACCTCCCCCGTGGCAGTTGCCTTGGGCCATCCAGGGGATGAGGTGAGACCATCTGCGAAGAACCCTCTGCTCATCCTGCAGGGCCAGCACTTGCCGGCCCCTTCAGCTCGGGGCTGTCTGATTTTGGGGAACGCAGAAGCCAGGAGAGGGCTGGCTCTCAAACGAGCTGTGTGACACACCAAACCCGCGCTCGGCAGCCCAGCGCACAAGGATGGGCCGGCTGGTGAGCGCTGCTGTGGCTGCAGCTCTCCCAAGGCCGAGATTGCTCTAGGCAGACTCAGCACTCAAGTTTTACCCAAACAGGAAGCTTTTCTAGCAGAATATATGCCCAGGAGCTTACACCAGACCTTGGCAGGGCATAAGAAGGGATTTAGTTTCCCATCCAGGCACCTGCTGGTATCAGAATTTTACCCCATGCCTTGGCCCGTTGAGTGGAGATCCACCAGGAAGGTGCTAAAAACAGAGCCAATTTCAACTGCCTTCGGGCGAATTAAAATACCTCCCCCCACACTTGTTTTACATCACCACCCTCTAGCACTCCCACATCACACATTGGCTACCTACAGTCGGCTTAACTACACCTGACTGCGCTGTCCTTCCATGTTCCAGTGCCTGTTTGCCCTGTGGGCTCACGGGGAGGGGGACTCCTTGACGGCCCCCGAGGGTCCCCGCTGTGCGCACGGGAGCCCCCTGAGGCTCGGCCACCCCATGGACACTCACCACAGTTCTTGAGGGAGAGCAGGGGGTGGTCAGCGGGCAGTGGCTCTGGCGTCGTGACATCCAGGCCCGCCGCAGCGATCTGGCCGTGGGCCAGCGCGTCATACAGGTCCTCCTGGTTCACCACGGCCCCCCTGGCAAAGGCAGAGGGAGAGGCCTGTGGCGCTGACAAGCGGCCCCGTGGGCTCCAGGGGTGCGCACCCAGGGCACGGGCCAAGTGACACAGGCTGGGTGGTGGCACCTGTGTCCCTGGGCTGCCGGAGCGGAGCTGGGACCCTCCTCCAGCGCAAGGAGCTGCCTCCGCTCCCCTCCAGTGCTGGCCACGCGGGGAGAGCGAGAGGTCCCAGCCGGGCCAGCCGGGTTCTTCCCCTGCCCTGTGTGGGGGACGGGGCTGCGGTTACCTGCTCGTGTTGATGAACACAGAGGTCTTCTTCATTTTGCTGAAGAAATCCTTGTTGCACATTCCCTGGGTGGCCGGAGTCAAAGCACACGTCACCACAACGAAGTCCGACTCCTGGGCCAGCCTAGAGAGTGGGGCTGAGCGGGGAGCACAGGTCACAGCTCTGCTGGGGGCCTCCCCAACACACCTCAGACACCCCCTGGTCCGCAGGGGAGAGACCCGGCCGAGGAGGCACAAGGACCAGCAAACACCCAGTGGGAACCATGCTCGCTCCTACAGACACCACTGCGGCCTTTTCTACCACTCTGGAAATAAAATCAAGCAAAGGAGAATCCAGCAATGATTCAGCTGTCTGTCACAGAGGAGGTTCTGGTATGTATTTCATGTTTAGAGAGCGTAATATGGCGGCAGCAGTCTATGCCAGCATTAAATCTCTCTGTACGGTACCTACAGGTAATGACTTGTGCCACTTTCACTCCTGGAGGTGAGAGGAACGTGCAAGGCACAGGACAAGTTCTGCCAGTGACTTTGTGTAAAAATGTGCTGGCTTTGGAGTGAAAAATTAGCATTTGGTGGAAGTCTTGGGACTGTAACAGGGCCCCAGAAAAGTCCCACTGAGCAGCTAAGAGACACTCCCAGGCTGGGCTGGGCGGTGATGTCCCTTTCAAAGCAGGAGGCTGAAGCCGATGCTCGTTCCCAGCAGCCAAGTCTCCCCCCAGTGAAGATCTGCACCGGCCCCAGACCACCCCCTGCTCCCCGCAGGACATCTCGAGGCCGCTGCCGCTTCCCCCTCCCTGTAAGGATCCCCTTCCCCCTGGGAGAGAAACAAGCTGGGAACCGCACACGGACGGACAGGCCTGCAGAGCCCGCCGCCACTCACCAAACTCGGCCCCAAACTCTGCAGCAGCCTCTGGTTTGGGGCGGCTGCCGGTGTACAGAAACCTCCTGACCCCGAACGGCTTCAGGCGGCGGGCGACGGCCTGTCCTAGGGGCGAGAGGGAAGACTGCGTGTCTGCAGAGACCAGCGCCAGGCCACGGGGTCTGTCGGGACCCCCGGGCGCTCCGTCCTCCCGCACGCTCTGCTCGGCATGGCCGGTCCCTGCCAGGATGGGGGTGGGTGTCTGCTGCTCCTCCCGAAATCCCCGACAGGGAAACTGCCCAAGGGAGCCGCGGGGCGTGGGACCTGCGGCCGGCCTGGGGAGCAAAGCGGCAAGCGAGGAGGGAAACGGCCGTCCGCTGACAAAGTCCACTGCGGGACAGGAGCAGCGCGTCACCCTGGACTTTGTCAGGGCAGCTGTTCAACTGGAGAGTGGGAGGACGATGTCCAGTCCGCTGCAGCACTCAGACACAGTGGATGTGTGTAAACTATCTTGTAGAAGAATTTTAAATGTAACCTTAGTTATATTTGTAATAAATAGATTTTAAGGCCTGGTGAAATGTGTTCGGGACCGAGCAATCTTTTGATACGACCAAGGTAACCAGAATGCTGCTCAACAGGCCTGGAAAGTGTCCTTAGCCTGCTGCTTGTATAGCGCCAGCCCAAGGCTGGTTTAAAACCCAGTCAAGCTAATCCTAGAGAGGCAGTTTTAACAAAGGATGATTAATGGACTAGACACAGGTGCTTTGCTAGATTAAGAGAATTTAGTATATAGAAACTGCTCGTTCTACCTAGGCTTTTAACAGAACATCTTGAGTTCTTTCTCAGAAGTCTAAAGGTGAGTTATGTTAAAGATTGTTTAGGAAGATAAGTAACTGTGATGACGCAAGACTGCATCAGTCAGTGAGCAGTGGTGTCAGAAGAAGAATTGGAACAGAACAGTGAGAACTAGCTGAAGCTGTGGAATATGGGCAACTTTTGAAATTGATGAAGAACTGAGAGTTTCTGCGAAAACACCAAAGAGTTTTTGTAAATGTTATGCAGAATCAAGAGGGTGCTTTTTGTCAGCCACTGCCACCCACCGAGGCGATGGCCCAACTCTGAGCTGTCAATAAAGCCAGCCCAGAGGTACCCACAGTCTGGCGAAATTAATGATGAGTCCAGACCCTGTTCAGAGAGGCTCTGCGCAGCTCTGCTGCTTCTTCTCGTTTTACAGAGGTGAGCGCCGGGGACATCACCTCGACCAAAGCCCCGAACCCACCTGCCACCGCTGGGGACACACCAACCCGGTGCCTGACATGCACTTACCGATCCTGCCCAGGCCTATGATGCCCACTGTGCTATCTGAGAGGCCAAAGCCACACATCCACAAGGGCTTCCACGTCGTCCAGCCGCCACTAACAGAGAGCCAGACAGGAGCAGGCATTGGGCAACAGCGGGGGAGAGCTCGTAGCCCAGCCTGGCATTTGGGCAAGCTCTCCAGAGAGCGCAGCGCCCCACCGACCATCTCACAGCCCCCTCCCCTCGGCTCTGAGCCACCTTGGTGGTGTCCAGCAGGAACCCACCCGGGCCTCGCACGCGCAGCAGCGGCTGCCCTGGGACTGGTTGAGCTCAGGCGCTGCTCGGCACAGCCCCAGCGCCGCTGCCAGCCCCCGCGCCCCGGCTGGACCCTCCTCACGTGCCCCCTTCGGGGGGTCTTGGCGGCTTGGCATGCCCCCTCCCATGGGTGCTCCTCCTCGTGCAGATGGGGCAGCGCTGCCGCTCTCGCAGCCCCCCAGAGATGTGGGGACCCCACCGCGGCCTGAGAGGCAGGGAAGCTGGGTGAGGCTGCAGGGGCTGGACCCTGCTCCATCTGCCGCCGTACTCACGTCTTGACCTGCTCGGCCGCCTCGGGCAGGCGCCGGCAGGCAGCCAGCAGCAAAGCCACGGAGAGTTCCGCAGTGGCGTCAGTCAGGACGTCGGGGGTGTACCCCACGCGGATCCCTCTGCAAGGCAACCACAGGCCCCTGGGGCAACGCCGCGGCCCCGGGGTGCCACCGCAAGATTTCCGGTCGAAGTGCTGATGCTGCACCTCGCCTGGGTGCAGAAAGACACCTCGCAGGGTCCTCAGCCCCCCGCCAGGGGCTCTTCCCAGCGCGGCTGCGGGGGGCTCACCCCGGCCGAGCCAAGGGCTCCTCTGGCACCGGTGGGGCTGGGGGTGGCCCCGGGCACGCCCCAGCAGGTGGAAGGCGGGTCACAAACCCCATCCAGCCCCCCCGGTCC